TTAGCTGTGGAAGCCTTGATTTTGCTAATAATTGACTGACTTGGTAGCCATTACAACAGATTACAACATTACATAACACCACATAACATAACAACATTAGAACAACAAAAAAGAAGCAATTCCACTGCAACCGGCAGGATCAGATTGATTACTTTAAAGGACAGAGTTCAAATACCCCCTGTGGTCCCGAAACGAGCACGAATGCCTCCGTAGCCAATCACGGCTGGCAAGTGGGCGGTCCCGAAGAAATTTCCAACCACACCCATCTTTGAGGAGTTTAACGCCCTTTTTGGGCTTTTCCCAGGTGAGTTTTCTTTATAACTCACTTCAGATGTTTTCCAATTGTACGGCACACAGTACAATCGTGATAGATAGTAGCGGAATGTACCGTTAAATGACGCGATGATCACAGCAATCCACCACAAAATTTATTGAAACAATCAACAAGCAACAGAACGCGAATAACAAAAAAAACAAAGAAATGAGAGCACAAAACCCCCCAGATCACTCGCAGGGCGGAAGAGAGAGTCTCCTGGTGGCGATCCCCTTCACAGTTGAGTGGATTCCCGTGTCACTCTCCAGAGAGTCCTAAGGGCGTATAGAGTACCTGGGCACTACCTCAGAATCCTGGCCACGAAGGCTTCTACAATCCCTTGCCACACCGGCAAATGACTGGCCACGAAGGCCTCAGACTTACTGGGTTACAGAGACCCTTAACTAAGGCCACACAGGCCCTCAAAGCACACCTGGCCACCAAGGCCACAACAGCACAGCCACAAAGGCTAAGGAAGTACGGCCACTAAGGCCACAGAGACAGCTAAGAGATGAGGTGGCTACCTCACCTCAGACGAACAGTAGAATAGAATGCCTAGGCCCCCTACGCCCTCCACTCGACACCTTCACTTCCCCGCGCGATCGATACTTTCCTGATCTCCTCTGACCCCCTAATGGGCCTTACGTTTAGGCGGTCGCTCATCATTGCGATCTCTCTCTTCGGCCCTTGCCGACACGCCCCCCCTCGCGGTTGTCGATGGCCTCATCGACCGATCTCCCTCCAAATACGGTAACTGAAACTGCGGCACCCTACAGCGAATATTTTCGTACAGATACTTCGCAGCGGCCACCCCAGGGTACAATTTATAAAACTGCGACGCTGTTTCTGGGCATCCTGCCTCTAAAAAGAGCTTTCCATCGCAGAGCTTATTACGAGCCGTCGTGACTATTTGGTCTGGCCCAGCGAATTTTAGTAGTGTCGCATCGATCGTGCTCCATAATTGGGACATCGAAATCCACTCTGCTAGGTTTTTGGCGGTTACCGGGGTCCAAACGGTGATTATCCTGCCCCCCTCCTCGAGGTGGGCTTTCGCGAGCTTCACAATGTCCTCGATCGTAGAAGCCTCCAATTTACGCTCCAGCGGCATCACAATTATCCATGTGCTATACGCCCTCCAGTCAACAAGAACATCTCTCAAACTTGCGAATGACTTCACCACTCTCGTGGTTAGGCCTCCCCGTGGCCCATCTTTTTCGAGAAGAACTGCCGACTCTGGTGCGGCGAAGCCCAACGGGCCTCCTTTCCGTGGGCGTGCTGCCCGGGCCTCCTCCTTCAATTCTTCTTTAACCTTTTCAAATGCAATCTCATATAATTCTTCCACACTGTGCTCGTCTATCCGTGGGTGCTTCGCGATTGCCTGATTCTCACATATGAATTCCGTCCAATCCGTACAGTGATCAAAGACCAGTCTCAATATGGCGCTCAAGGCTTGTGTTTCCAGCATTACTGCGCGCTCGTTGTTGAGACGGATTTTTTCCGTGACGGACAAATCGCTCCTGATAAAAATTGACGCAGCTCTCCATGCCGCCCATACGTTTTCAAACTGCTTGCGGCGGAACGCCCCAGGGAATGGGATTCCATTGATATCACCGAGTGTTATTTTTTTGAAACAGTCGTCCAAACACTCGTACTGTAGATGTCCTTTGTCGGTTACGCTTGTAATCGTAGCTCCTCTGAAAAAAACACAATCAATTTTCGCCACTTTTACCTTGCATTTTCTGCCCCTACGTCCTCTCATGTGTGCAGTGTCAATTCTATCGTCCGGGATGCACTTAGGCACTATTCTTAACATATCAAATTGAACCCTAATCGGTTCGCTATTTTCTCCTATTCTGCTAACAAGGGCAGAGTTACTGCTCGCCTCAATCACTCTAAAAGGGCCTGCCCATTCACATACTAATTTGGGGTGTGTGTTTCGCGCTTTCTCATTGGGCGAAAAGACATATACCCGATCTCCCACCTTTGGGTACCTCCTGCCCTCCACCTTGTGTTGGCTATCATACTGCTGCTTCATCTGTTGTCTCACCCGATTGTTGTACTCTTCTACCCTCTCGTGGGTTTCCGAAACGGCTTGCAAGATCTCCGTCTTGTAATCTCCTAGGGACTTATCCATAGAATACCAACTTATGCCTGCATTTGGTAATACTTCAGACGGAAAAAATGGATCCATGCCATGAAGCAGGAAGTACGGGCTTTCCCCGTCGCTCTATGTGGAATCATATTGTACGCCATCATGCAAAATGGTAACCTAGTATCCCACTCTGTAGGTATGAGCGTACATTTTCTTAACATGGCTACAATAGTTCCATTCAGTTTTTCCGTCAACCCATTCTCTCTGGGATTGTACCCCTTCGTCGTACATGCGTTATTTTCGCAATTTTCGTAATTTCCTGCATAACCTGGTTCACAAATTCTCCGCCTTTGTCGGATAGTAAAGTTTTCGGCCACCGACACCCGTCGGCGATCCATCTAAAGAACACTGTCCTTGCAATCGTTTCTGCCGATTTATCTGGCACCGGGTATGCGGCCGCATATTTGGAAAAATGGTCTATAACCGTTACTGCGTACCTATTGCCTTTAGTGGTCGGTCCTAACTCTAGCACATCAACACCCACTATTTCATATGGCTTCGATGTAACTATGGGCTTCAGCGGGGGCACCATCGCCTCTCGAGGGTTGTGCACAAAACATTTCTGGCACTCTTTTGTCCATTTGTGAACATCCTGTACCATTCCCGGCCAGTACACTTCTTTGATCAATCTTCCCACAAGCTTCTGTGCACTAAAATGGCCTGCAAACAACCCGTTGTGTGCTTCCTGGAAGATCTCATATCTGTGCGCTTTCGGGACAACATAAACCGCTCTGCCATTCTCCCTATACAATTTCAGTTCCCCTTCTTCCAACGCGAAGTCCGCTATCCGCAATGGTTGTTTTTCTCCCGCAATTCGCACGATTTCGTCCGACTTCCCTTCCTCTACCAATCTCACTACTTCACCTAGCTGCGGATCGTTTCTTAATTCTGCCAGCCACTTTGATTCCTTAGTCGTCACAGAGTTGACGACCGCCTCATTTAACCCATCCATCGAATCTGATCTTATTGATGCAGACACACCTCTACTGAGGGCATCCGCCACCACGTTTGCTTTCCCTTTCACGTACTGTATTTCCAGATTATACCTCTGTAACTCCAGGGACCATCTCAAAACCCTTGCTGAAACGTTGCTACGCTTGAACAGTGCAGTGAGAGGTTGATGATCGGTCATCACAATGGTTGGAAGACCATAGATGAACATATGGAACCTCCTACTGCGAAAACTACGGCAAGCGCCTCCAAGTCCGTGATATGGTACCGACGCTCCGCTTTACTTAGACTTTTGGATGCAAAGAAAATGGGATGCGCTTGCTTGTCCTCTCCTTCTTGCGATAAAACTGCACCCAACCCGTACACTGACGCATCTGTACAGATGATGAATGGCCTTTCTCCCGTACGAGCTCCTTCTATGTCTGGTTGCTTGAGCACTGGGGCCGTGCTAATCATTTCCTTCATTTTTGCGAACGCCTCCTCGTGTTCTTTCTCCCATGCCCACTTACACTTTGACGATGTCAAATTGAAAAGGGGCCCTGCTCGCTGCGAGAACCCGAAACAGAATTTTCTGTAAAACGATGCCATGCCGAGGAACGTCCTCAGCTCTTTCACACTTTTAGGTGCCGGGTAGTCACGAATTGCTGACACCTTATCTGGATCCATGTGGACCCCTTCCTCATCCACGACATGGCCTAGGAACGCCACCTTCCTTTTCATCAAATGACACTTCTGGGCTTTTAGTCGCAACCTTGCCTCCTTCATCCGCGCGAAAACCTGCCCTAGCAACTCCAGGTGCCGCTCCTTTGTGGTCGTGCAAACCATAATGTCGTCGATGTAGCAGAACACCTCTGCACCCAAGAGGTCTCCCAACACCGAGTCCATCAACCGCTGGAACACTGGCGGGCTCGTACTCAATCCAAACGGCGTCACTTTGAATTGAAACAACCCTTCCGGCGTTGCAAAAGCCGACTTCTCCTTTGCTTCCTCTGCCAACGGGATCTGCCAGTACCCACTGCAAAGATCCAACGTCGAGAAATACCTTTTTCCCGAGAGACTCTGCAAGACCGCCTCTATGTTTGGAAGGGGGTACGCGTCCAACTTGATTTTCTTATTTAGTTCTCTATAGTCGACACATAACCGGATACCGCCATCTTTTTTTTCCACCAGCACAATCGGAAATGCCCAGTCCGACTTACTAGGCTCTATCACGTTCCTTTTCATCAAGTCCCCTAACAACTCTCTCAACTTGGGTCTTACCCCTAGTGGAACCGGTCTTGCTTTCATTTTATTGGGGGACTATCTCCTGTATTTATGGTCATATGCACTAAGTCCGTCTGACTCAATTCCTGGTCCGAGACGGCGAACGCTTCTGCATACTCTTCCAACAACCTCTGAAGATCCTCATCCATGCTCCCTGGCTCCATGTTGTCCGCTATCAATTCTTCTAACACCCGCAGTCTCTCCGGCGCTCTAAGGTTATCCTCTCTGGCGCCCATCAGTAGTGGGTTTGCCTCCTCCCATCGCTCAAGCCACTTATCCGTGCCCCACCGGCCGACATCTTCACCCTCTTTCAAAAGTATGGGTTGACAACTCTTGTTGAATACGGGGAGCGATGTTCTCCGGTCTTTAATAGTGAAGACTCCCGCAGCTATACCATGCTTACATGGCCATATCACCCTTTCCACTTCGCCGCCTCTGTCACCCTGGCACAATACCTCTACCAGTGCCGTATCGCCGGGGGGTATATAGCGTCTCTCCGCTACCACGACCTTGCTTTCATTTGCTTCATCTTTCACTGATTTATTAACTGAACTGTCCCGTTCTCTTTCAATAGAAATGTTAATACCTAAGCGAGCTAACGCATTGGTACCCAATATTATCTCCATTTCCTTTTTTGGGCTAATATGGAACGCTACGTTTTGAGTCGTCTCTTGATTTAATTTGACTGGTAAATAAACAGCCGCAAGGAAATCCATCCTATTGTTCGATGCATCGACCACCGGCTTCAGCTTTGACTTGGGCACCATTCCCAAGGAATCCAGGTCAAAACCCTTGTCTTGCACTTTCGCCAGTAGTTCCACTGGGACAATGCTTATCATTGACCCCGTGTCAATTAAGGCCTGACAATCCTCATTCAGAATGTTAAGGGGCACTGTAACTTTTTCCCCTATGAGCTCGTCCGCTGATACTCCCTTCTCTCTCACAGACATCCCCATGCACCTAGCACGATTCACAATAGCCGACAGTGTCTCGTCCTTCCGGGAAGGTGCCTCTTCCCTGGGCTCAATCTGGTTCACTCTAGCCGTACGCACTGGACAATCTCTTGCTACATGCCCATATTTGGAGCACTTATAGCATTTTCTGTTCTCGACCCCCTCCTGCGAAGAGCCATGCTGGGCTGGCCTCACATTACGTGCTTGCCTCTGGGGTTCTCTGGTAATGCTCACGCTAGATTGGTAGTTGCCCCTTCCACCAAGTTCTTCTCCCCTATTTGGCGTATCTCTCCCTTGCTCCGGCCTACTGCGCGAAAAACTTGGAGCTCCTGCTCTCTCGACAAACCCGTAGCCACGATATTGTGCGGCCCTTTCTTTCCATTTCAGATCTGCTGGCCTCCTACCAACCTCAAACATAATTTTCGATTGCTCTATACTAAGAGCCAATTGTTTCACTTCCTCGTAAGCTCTCCGAGGGTCCACCTTATGCAATGCCCCAACCAGTTGGTAGTGTTCTGGCCACTCTCTGAGGTTCTCCAACAAGATTTGCGCGTACTCCAACGATCGGTCTTCCACCGTACATTCTGGGTTGGCTTGCCTACCTAGCTTCTCTAATACAGCGCAGAATTCCGCTATTTCCTGATGGGGCCTCAACTTAAGATTCTTCAAGTCCGTGAGAGCCCTCATCCTACCTGCCGTTGAATCATAGGATAGAAGCCGGGCCATCTCCCGAGTCACCGCATCGAGCCCCTGCTCCTTCGTTATCCTTGGGAGGGCGGCGAATATGCTCTTCGCCCTTCCTGCCAAGTGGTCGTCTCCTAGGATTTCTATGAGGGTGGCTTCACATTTGATTACCTGTTCATACTTTCTTTTAAACCTTCTTAAAAATTCTTCAAAGTTTTCGTTCTTAGTGCCTCTGTACACCCCGGGGTCACTACACGCCATCGATCTTAAATACGTTATCAACTGCTGAGAAACTGACGAACCTGCGTCCTCCAACGCTGGCGTCGTTGAATCCGTCGATGCTGAAGGTTGCCTCAAGCGATCTGCATATATCGGTCCAGTCGAATGCATCTGCAACTGATTGTTGAAGACTCCTTCCCCAACAGCACTTGCCTCAACGGTCCTACCTTGAACCTCCATTGCCTCGTCTTTTCGAACGGCTTCAAGTTGCAGACTTGCGACGTGCTTTTTTACCTGCAACACGTCTGTGTTAAGCATCTCACAGATCCCTGCTAACACTTCACCATCCCTTTCCATGGTCTTGATGTATTCATCCCACTCCTCACATGTCTCAATCCCTCTCTGAGCCAGTACTTTACTCACTTCATTCTCTAACTCGTGGGACATCCCCCCTTTCTTTAACTCTTCTGCTGCCATCCCTTCCACAATCTTATACGTGGCCAAGAACTCCTTCTCTATCTCCGCTCTTCTTTCTTTTGATACCCGAGACTCGCACAAGATCTCGCCTACCTTCTTCTGTAATTGCCCAACCAGGCCTACGAACTTGCCCCCTACATCTGACTTCCTTCTAAACAAAGGGAGCACACCACTCCTTACCTCCGCGGGATCCAAATTTTCCGTCATCTCTGTGTCTACTCGATCCTCGCTTGGGAGGGGGCTCTGCCTGGAAGAATTCACAATCGTATCTTTCTCCATTACACAGTGTCACCGACTCACGCAATGGAGGGTGCCCTTTCTTTGTGGTTCTTGCTTTCACCACTCGCAACAACTCGGCTACCCTTTCTTTGCGGTAGTCCCGAGTGACACACCAATAATCGAACGATCAATAACCGACGCGACGCAAGAAGAAACAAAAAAAATTCACGAACAGAACGCGAATGCTTGAGATCGACGCCTGCCGCCCGAAGGCAATCAATAATCAATAATCGATAACCCTCTGGTTATTACAAGCGAACTATTCCTACACTCCACTACCAAATCACGACCGGTTCGGCCCCCATGTAAGGCACACAGTACAATCGTGATAGATAGTAGCGGAATGTACCGTTAAATGACGCGATGATCACAGCAATCCACCACAAAATTTATTGAAACAATCAACAAGCAACAGAACGCGAATAACAAAAAAAAAACAAAGAAATGAGAGCACAAAAACCCCCCAGATCACTCGCAGGGCGGAAGAGAGAGTCTCCTGGTGGCGATCCCTTCACAGTTGAGTGGATTCCCGTGTCACTCTCCAGAGAGAAACTCGCAGTCCTAAGGGCGTATAGAGTACCTGGGCACTACCTCAGAATCCTGGCCACGAAGGCTTCTACAATCCCTTGCCACACCGGCAAATGACTGGCCACACAGGCCCTCACACACACCCTGGCACCAAGGCCACAACAGCACAGCCACAAAGGCTAAGGAAGTACGGCCACTAAGGCCACAGAGACAGCTAAGAGATGAGGTGGCTACCTCACCTCAGACGAACAGGTAGAATAGGAATGCACTAGGCCCCCTACGCCCTCCACTCGACACCTTCACTTCCCCGCGCGATCGATACTTTCCTGATCTCCTCTGACCCCCTAATGGGCCTTACGTTTAGGCGGTCGCTCATCATTGCGATCTCTCTCTTCGCCCTTGCGACACAATAAGGCCCTGGTTATACTTTTAGTGCATTAGTATTTGAAAGAAGGCAGATGCCAGCTGGGGACTGTTTTGCTAGTAAATGTGCGTTGACGTGGAAAAAACCTACCAACTAAGACCAAGGCGAACACTTTGGGATTTGGGACGGTATTCAAAGATCTTTCTTTATAATTTTTAGTCTGAAAGCACCTCTGGAAGCTTTCGACAAGCTCTTCTTAATCAGTGTCAAAAGGTCTGAGCGGTGTATGTTGACAAGGAGGTGGCAGGGTACACTGTGGGAGGTCATGAGAGGCCCACCTTTGCCGGAGGGGAACATTTCACATGGGAAGGTCCCGACAAAGGTGTTCCACTGCAGTAGTTCAGTTTCTGAACTCCGGTGTTCCAGGGCTTCATTGCTTCTGAGTTCCAGTGTCCCAGCTGATATCGTTTTCGTTTCCTTTTTCTACTCCTGTTTGTTCTCCCCTACTGCTGGGGGGGGGGCGCTCTTCGTGTTCGATAATCTCACGTCGCGCCATTGTGGCGCCGCGTCGGCTGCGGGTTTCAGCCTCACATCGGAAAGGTCTGAGTGGCTAGAACTGAGGGTGGGGGGGAGGGGAGTCCATGGGCTCGAGAGCGCGCTGGTGGTGGCAACTAGGAGCCGTAACCGTTTCGTCCTTGGTAGCTGGAATTCCAGAGAGGTCACGCCGTGCATTCTAAGTGCCCGCTCGTTGTTCGCCACTCAAGGTAAGCTGTCCTTTTTTCCGCAAGGAACACCTACTCCATTTCCCTTTAAGGCAAATTGCCGGCGTTGAGGAAGGAGCGTGTCCAGGATGCTCGTCGACGTAGCCAGTGCCCACCCAGGCATACGCCATGCATCGACGAGATCAAGGGGTGATGCCAGATTGCCCCATGGGCAGGAACTGCGGTGGAAGTGTAACTATCAACCAAACGTGCCGCTTGCTATCATCTCGAAGCTGTCTCCAAGTGGGAAGCGTGCATGCCGTACTGACTATGGGCTAACCCATGGCCCAATTTTTGAATTCGGGCCGAAATCTTGATCTTCTCTAAAACTGCGGCTATAAGGGTAATTATAGGCGCTGATTACGAATCTGACGTCCATTTTTGATGGAGGCGCGATATTGCGCCATTTTAGCCTCCTCGGGGCATCAAACGGGGGTCGCTTTGCATACAATTGTTCGCCAAATACCTGGCAGATAAGCTAATCAGGAACAGGTTGTGTGACCCCGATGTGTAAGACGTAGTACCAAATTTTTCTAGCGGGCGGGGTAACTATGGGTCGTAACATGAAATGCAAAATTTTGTCATCAGCCGGGACCGATCCCTCGACCAATTTTTCATACCTTTTTTGGCACTCACAGGGCCGCTCAGAAAAAATGGAGCCTAGTTTTGTACTCCATGCATGTGCCCCTTTATCATGCAAAAAACCGTTTTCAAAAAAGGGCTCCATGTCCTGAAAGACCTCTGGGGGAATGGCGGTGAAGGATCGTGAAGTAAATATCTTCGGACACTTCATGCTGCCATGCTTTAAATTGCACCATCAGAGTGATCCATCTTGAGGACAAGATTCGAGGATTAAAGTTTTCATGGAGGAATTTTCAGCGCAATGCTGAAGGCAGTTGGTGAGAACCCTGACCGCCATTGGGGGAGAAAAAGGCGGAAGAAATCGTTAAAATATGCAGGGCAAATGCGAGCCTTTTGCTCTACGTCTGCGGGAAGTTCAAAAGGCCGGTAGGGAGATGAGAGATAATGTGAGCGCGGAGTGCGGTAGAGAAGTCCGAGTAGAAAAAGAGTAGCAGATCAACGTTGCGACGCAGACAAGATATCGAGCGGTGGGCGAAGCGTGACCTGTGCTGATGAGCGTGCCAAAGTCCTTGGCGCTAGCGTCTTAGTGACTCGTTTTCGATGCAAGAACGTGGAGCATCCTGCAGGTCGTCCCACGCCTTTCTGGCCACGGTAAGGTCTTTTTAAGTGGGTCTGAGTCCGAATCTTGCCTTTAAAGCGTCTTTCAATGCGATACCATCTCTGTTATGGGCACCCTCCCTGAAGCTTGACAGATGAGGCTGCTGAGGCCAGTTTGAATAGCAATGCGCTTCTGGGCGCCTCTTACAAACCGCCTTTGCTTAGTTTATTGTAGAAATTTCGTCCTTCTAATTGATGCCGTCTAGACAAAAGAAAGGTAGCTACCTTCAAGCAGGAGCGAACGCTCTTTTTAGACGATTCATGGTTTGAGAAGTTTGCAGTTTTTTCTTATTTATAGTGTCCACATAAAGTCGCTCTTTTGTAGGAGTAAGCCGGATTTCATTTGAGAATGAGCCGCACGGCATCACCAAAAAGTGCGCTGCGTCTTGAAGGTTCCGCTAACTGACCGTTTCTGCAGGTTGCTATAAACCAATTCGAATTGAGAAACGCCGTATCGTTTGGAATGGGGCTTTTCTCGCCCAGATATCGTGACAGTGGTCATGATTGTGAGTCTTCGGCGCTCAGGAACTGTGCGCCCTACGGTCCTCGCCACGGACCCGAGGAACATGTGCGGGTGAAGCCAATCTCTGGATCTCGTCAGAGATCGTCCGGGTGCACGAGCGAAACAACTGGACCGGATGAAACGGAAGGTGTTGAGCGCCCATGCTGGGCGCGGTTGACCAGCCAACAGTAGACGATACAGAACTAAGTGGGATTTGGTAGGGGGCTAAAACAATTTTGCACTCGTTAGCTAGTAGCGCGCTACTTTCAGTTGTGCACAGGTGTGCATAGTAACTTCTCACTATGACTAATGCATTTCCAACGTCGTTTGCTGGTGACACCGCTGGATGCACCAGAAAACCGGTGTTCAACAGGCATAGTCTCTCGGATGTGAACATTTCAAGCTCCCACGAACTGGGTTTGTACCAGACACACCTCACGGGGCAACCCTGGACAGTACTTTGCAAGATGAAGCATCGCAGTGTCGATGCTCTGGCCGACATCGTTCAAGGCTTGATCAAATTCATATCCGAGAACGAGCAGTGGTGAAGAGTCCGATCCAACAAATTCGCGAGGAAGGGAAAGATGTCCAGTAAGTGGAAATTGAGGAAGCTGTACTAGCGATGTGAATTCAAAAAGATGTGTTTATAGATGTGATCGGTGCTGTGGATGGCACACTGGTCCGGATAAGGACTCCAGCTGTTGACGGGTGGCAGTACGTCAGCAGGAAAGGAACATCTTGCCTCAACGTCTGCATCATCGCAGACGCTGTAGGCCGAATCCTGTACGTCAACAGCGGGTCCCCAGGATCGGTGCACGATGCCACTGTTTGGCGTGACTCCGCACCTGCTGCGGTCTTCAATTGTCTAGCAAGGAGGTTATCACCTTCTTGGCGATATGGGGTACGGCAACGGCGGGGCGGAATAATTACGTCATTCCGGTTCACTGCCGTCCAAGGAAGACGCGAGGAAAACGCGATATAACCACGATCATTGCCGTATGCGGTCGTGGAGATGACCTATTGGTCGTCTGAAATCGCGTTTCCCCATTCTCTCGTCAGAACTGAGAGTGGGACCTCAACGCGCGTCGAAAATCGTCATTGCATGCGCAGTGTTGCACAACATAAGTTTGTGCCTCCACGCGACCGCCATGCGACAGCTTGGAAGTAGGAAGGCGACAATGCCACATCCTGGTGCCAGACGTTGCAGACGTCCGTGCGTACATCGTAGAAAGGATGTAGGCATATTGTCGGTATGCATATGTTCCTGCTAGCTCGGTGTTCAAATTTGATGAGAACTCATCCGCGCACTTTTCAGCCGATCCGAGAGCTTGACAAATTGTGCTGCACTGCATTCATTCCTTCACAAGGCAGGGCAACCTAGTAGAGGATGTACATCCATACAGGTATGTAAGGAAAGTGCTGTCTCTGTGTTGTACATAGGGACAGGAATAGTTGCTATAGCTTCTCTAACTTCGCCCGGATGGTTTAGAAATCCTTTAAAAAAAACAAGCCAAAGGTAATGTTTTTGCAAAAGAACCGAAACTTTTCCAAGAGAATTCCGAAATTTTTGTGAAAAGTCGTAAGTCTTTTAGGCTTTGTTTTCCACATGTGTTTATATTCTCTCTGTCACTCCGGCTCCATTCTTTTAGCATTTCATTCATCTCTCTTAGTATGATGTCGTAAATGGATTCTTCGTTCTCCATACCTTATGAAACCGTACGAATGGTTGAACAGGAGGGGAACTCCGAGCCAGCGTTGGTTTTGGGATCGCAGCAACTTGAGCGTATGATGGCGCTGCTGTTAGATTTCATTCACATAATCTTGTTCTTGTTCTGCAAGAGGGTTTCATCAAGTTCCAAAGATTGCTTGTGCTGAAGCCTCCTAATTACTTTGGTCTTGTTGGAGCCCGCAATGAGAATTGGGCGGAAAATTTTGATGAGGTGAGTGAGAAGATAATGCGTATTATGTCTCCTGTTTGGGTGAAATTTAGTCTTACATGCGGGAGCATAACACATTGGTTGCGATACATGGAAAAGGATGCTCAGGAAGTGTGGCGAAGACGATGGAAACTGAAAGTGGATTTCGGATATTTGTGTACTCGACTCGAATCAACCGATGCACCAGCGAGTCGAACGATGTACCAGCGACTCAATAGTGGCGGGACCCAACGTTCAAAGGAAGCCCGCCACTTTCAAACAGTGTCCACTGTCAAGTCCCGCCACTTTCAAAAAGGGTCCACTGTCACGTGACACTGTTTGAAAGTGGCGGGCTTCCTTTGAACGTTGGGTCCCGCCACTATTGAGTCGCTGGTACATAGTTCGACTCGCTGGTGCAATCGTTCGATTCGCTGGCGCAACGCTCGGATCCAGCGATTCGCTAGCGAATCGCTCGATTCGCAAACTATGACATCGGCCTATGTGGAGGACTGCAGCCTGCTACTACGGTGTCTCGATAAATCGATCGGGGGATTCTTGAGGCAGGGGGAGTGTACCCATTGTGAGGGGTGGTGAGCAGGGTCAAGCTCGTGTTGAGGATTTCCTCGACCATCGCGGGTGTGAATGTTCGCGCGGAGAACGTGTCTGATTTTCACACGATCAGGCACGTTCTCTCGCGCGGACATTCACACCGGCGGTGGTGGGTAAGGGCAGTCACCTGACATGTGTGAGAGGCTGGAATCCTGCTCTTCATAGCGTCTCTTCACGTCACTTCAGTGGGCAGCAGTTCCCACGTACGTATATTTTTTACGTCTACCGAGTTCACGAAATGCGTCGCGCCCATCACATTTGCATTAAACCGGAAAATGTCCCTCATCTCCTAATAATATTTTTGCGAGTTTCAATAGCTCATGTGATATGGCTGAGATATTTCATTCCCCGGACTGTCTGTATCGTAAACGTCCTCGGAACCGTCCAATGTCAATAATGGCAAGGTTAGAGTTTTCGTTATGCTCTAATACCGAAATTCCTGCATGTTTTCCCCTCTTCTTCTGGATCCACCATCCACAGTTTCATCCGTGTGCTATTCCATCCTTTCTATCGCTCTTCATCAGTGTATTCCCCGTAATTAACACTGCTTTTCTATATGGTTTAGGGAGTTCCTTTCATTAGAAACCCTCGGGAAGGAACTTGTTCCATGACCCTACTTTTATACCTAACACTTTACATGAGAAGTTTGTTGGTTCTTTTGTGAAACACTACTACTTCTATCCTAGGTTTACACATTCTTGCAAACGCGAACAAAAGTATTAGAACGGCCTATGGCGACCTGTCTCAAAGCGATATCTGCAGGTTATTCGCTCCATTGTTGCATTGGTTATCTATTTCACTTCATTCAGCAATACTTCTACTTCATTCAGACAAGCTTCAAGTTGGTTGCGGAGCAAACTCGCTTGATTGTTTTCATTTCGTTACGACGACCAGTCAGTGAAACAGGTCAACTAAACGATTCTCTAATAAATACGTGTTACACTGAATCTCGCCCTGTATTTCAAGTTTTTGAAGTTGCTCTTTCTTTGATCACGTTCAAAGTTCATTAACATTCTCCACAACTTACTATTGTATGTTTTTTTCTAGCTTTTATAGCTTTGTGTGAATAAAATAAAAACACGTTGTGCATGTACATATATGGGAATACGAAACAAGTAAAGTCAATATTTAATAAACAACAAGATTAACAATTAGGAAGTTAACAGCCATCGAACAATAATAGAACATTTGACGCATATCCGCATCGTTGTGACTTGCAGAAACACAGAAGTTGTGTCCATCACGAGAGCTTAAAAAGCAAAAGTCAGGCTCGTGTTTGGGCATCATGGCGCCTGAAATTGAGTGTTGAGATGGGAAGTGGAATCAAAAGCAAATTGAAACCCACCACTGAGCGCCTCAATGCACCGTTTGAACTCGTCCGAGACATCGAGCTTGTGCGCATTGAACAAAAGAATGATACGATCTTCACGTTCGGCGAACC